TGGACGACGACAGGTCTTGAATGAAGGAGTCCTGAAGGCGGCCATTTATGAGGACAGTGGTGTAACCTGTGATGAACTTGCAAGACAGTTCAACTTTCCGATGAAACAGTTAGACTTCCCCTGCATCGCATAGGTATGAAGTACAAGCTGATCAAGTGGTTTCCGCAAACGATGTTTGAGGTCCACAAGGGACAACGAGTGGCAGCCTGGGTATCGCTGCTTTCTCGCCACCGTGCCGCATCCTTATTCAATCGGGTGCTTACGAAACTCTCAAGCGTTCAAGACATTGTTTGTCTCCTCAGGATGCTGTCCCTCACACCACAAGACAGCCTATGCACCCACGCAAGATTATGCTTTGTGTCTGATGGACAGGTCGTCAAGTGGTTCATTACAAATGGGCCAAACTCGCTGCATTTGAAACGTGTGCAACAGGCATTGCCCCAGAAGGAGACAGTATTGGTGAATCGCAAAGGTGTGCTTTTCCTCCATGACAACGCTAGGTCGCATGTCGCGCGAGTGGTCAGGGATACCATACAGCAACTTGGATGGGAGACTTTGTGCCATCCACCTTATTCACCTGACCTTGCGCCATCCGATTACCACCTATTACACTCCCTGGATAATCATCTTCGTGGAAAATCCTTCACCAATGAAGCAGACTTGCGCAAAGCCCTCACGGAGTTCTTTGCGTTACCCCACCCCGAGTTCTACCGCAAGGGCATTGAACAGCTGGAGACGCGTTGGCAGAAGCTGCTCGATGTCGATGGCGATTACTTCGAAGACTAAATATAAGTTACATACTGTGAAGCGTTTTCTTTTTTTTCCTTTAAAAACGGACAGAACGTTTTTTGGTTTCCTTGTACAAAATTCTACTTTCACAAATGATCATTCTACATTGTTTTGCTTTACTTAGATTAGACTGTTTATGAGAAGTAAAACGATTTTATTTAATACAGCCTTGGTTCTTGTGTGGAAATCACGGATATCATCCATTGATGATTTAAAACATTTCCTACGATGCGGACGTCATACAATCAGGATTCGGGTCGAAATGAGTAATCGGCAATTTCAAGATTAATGAGATTATTTCCTTTTGTAGGGGAAAGCTGGTAAAGACAGCAGCATTTTTTATGCATATTTAGCGAGGAGAAAAGAGGTGAGAAATGACATGGAATATAGGAAAGGATTTTATATAAGTTTTTTTTTTCTCTTTATTTTTGAAATATAAACAGTAAAATGTCATTTTTAATAGATTTTGTACATAATGCAAGCGAGATAAAGCATAAAAAAGCAGCCTAAATATGTATGTTCTCGTTTTTATCCATTTAGAGAGCACATTCGTGCGAAGATATCCCGCCGTTTCAACGTTCTCTTAGGTATTTTTAAAGTTTAAAGTGCATTTACAAAAACTAAAAATATTTATTCAAGCTTTAATTTTAGATTCAATTTCAAATAAATAGATTAAATTCAATATTCCCAACAAGTAAAATATTTTGGTGTATTTAAAATTGAATTTAAAATGACAGGAGTTTTTTTTTTTTTCAACTGCTCAATAAAATCGATAAATTCCTCCATATTGATAAATTTGCAAATACGGCTCAGTTATTTTTATAAAAAAAATATTTCAAAAATAAAGTGCAATTTTCTAGAATGTTATTTGAGAAAAATTAGCAGATTTGCAGTTTAGTTATTCTGAATTGAAAAAAATACGTTTAATTAAAAATATCACAGAAAAGCTTCTTTTATATGATGTTGTAGGTGTTATTGACATGTGGAATGACTTATTAACAAGACGGATCTTTGGGAAATTTAAAAAATGGAGACAATAAAGAGGAAAATTATATGACGAATACAACGTAAATGACTACCCAGTTATCTTAAAAATTAAAACATTTTAATATTTAATTTAATTTAATGTACTTTAGCTTTATAGCCTTACTTACAAAAACGCTTGTCGACAAAATGTTAGAAAATCACCAATAATTTCCATTTAAGACAATAGTGCCCATAATATATTTTATTCATAATAGTAATTAAAATATATTTTTTAATTAAATATTGTCTTAGATTCATTGCATTTTTAATTTACATTTGAGAGCGGATTTCCTGTCAAAAATGATAATTAAATTCTCCGATGACTTGTTCTTATAACGAATATATACATTGAGCGATATAAAATAGAATTTCTTGAATTTGCATAAAATTAAATGTGTATAGAGTAACAAATATAAACAAAATAAATAGTTTCATTCATTTGCAAAAAAATAGTTTCATTAACATCCAACAATTATCTGACTTTTGCATAAATATTCAAATCAATATAGATTTCCTCACAAAACCAATGCACAAATTGCCCGTATAATTTTATGGGCCATAGATGACGCTAGAAAAAACAGGATTTTAACCAATATTTCCCTAGTATACCTAGGGAAATATTGGTTAAAATCCTGTTTTTTCAAGACTTAAAAGAAATTTTGCAACAATAAATCTTCCCTCATAAAATTATCTTCTCTCATAATAACGCAAAATTAATTAAGATTTATTATGTTTGTGACATTTTTACAATATGTATCATTTTTTAAGAGAATAGTTGTTGGTATGTGAGGTGTAAAATGAATTCTTGAAACGGAAAATATTTATTGAAGCTTTTATTTTATTTCAAGCTAAATGATTAAATGTAATATTTCCATAATGCAATATGCTGCATTTCAAAATAATTTAAATTGAGTGGAATTGTTTGACGTCGCTCCTCACAATCTCTTTATTTAAAAATATTTGAAAAATAAAATATATATTTTTGAAACTTTATTTGAGGAATATTATTAGAATTAAAGATTAATTAATCTGATTTGAAACAAAGATAACTTACTTTTAATGTTAAATATCGCAAAAAAACATTTTAACAGATAATTATGTGCTTATTTAATCTGTTGAATATGCAACTTTTACGGAAAGGAAAGTGGAATAAACTGGTATAATAATAATAATAATAATAATAATAATAATAATAATAATAATAATAAACAATCAAAGCTAACCGCCCAGATATTGTTATTAAAGACTACAAAAAAAATTGCCTCCTTAAGATATGGCACTCCCTGAAGACTGCAATGTATCTTTGAAGATATTCAAAAAGCTGTCAAAATACAAGGACCTCGAAATTGAAATCTCAAAAATGTGACACATGGTCACATCAAAAATCCCTGTTGCAATTGAGCCCTAGGATTGGTTAAAAAAATATTCCAGTAAACTAAATAAAGGGATTCCTAGAAGCCCATGCCTCAAAGAAATACAATAAATTGTCCTCACAAGTCCACACTGTAAAATACGTGTTTTTTGGGGGTTTTATTATTTTGGTTTTTGGTTTTTTGGGTTTTTTGTCAGTGTCATGATGCCATTTCTAACCTTAGGTCTCTTAGCGGGACCCGGAAAGAAATGAGTAGACATCAGAAATCAAAGAAAATAATAATAATAATAATAATAATAATAATAATAATAATAATAATAATAATAATAATAATAATAATTGCCATTTGAAGAGGAAACTGAGACAGTAAACCATATAAGTGAAATTGTGAGCTGAGTCAAAAAGAATACAAAAATATATACAAGAGAATAAAGACAATGGCACACTGGGAATTGAGCAAAATATTTCAGAACAGAGAAGAGACAAACGAGAGACTTCGAGAAAATAAACAAAAGAGAGAATGGGACTTTAACGTCGCAAGCGATTACTCAGCAATAATCTACCATATCAAAGAGCTGTAAACATGGTAACGTGAACTTTCTCGATCGTTGATGTAGCTTTGCCCTCTGACCACAAATATAAGTTGAATAAAAGTGAAAATAAAAGAGCAGTACTTTGTCCGAAAATTGAATGGATCGATAAAAATCCTAAAGGTTAAGGTCATTCCCATAATAGTTGATGCATTTGAAATCGTGCGAAAGCACTAGAGACTAAATTTGATGAATTAGAATTTCGAGAAATAAGTGAGACTATTCAAACCTCTGCTGTCTGGAATGATCAATCTATTGATGTTGATGATCTGAGGAGACTTTCTCGAGTTCAATCTCCACGGTTTAGAACTAGATATCTTGTCTGCGCATGCAAATGGATGGAACAATTATAATAATACATAAAATACAACAGATTACCAAACTCAGAGTTTGGTAAAAAGATCTTTTCACGCACCTATTTTAATGTATGTATCGAACCAAAGTGTCGTTTCTATAAACACCACACCCGGAGATGACAAGTGCGCAAAATTCAAAGTGATCATAAGACTTCTTCTCACCGGGTTGATTCAAATTTTTACGGCGTGGCAATCTGAAGAGAAATAAGACAGAAGCTCCTTGTTTGTACAGGTTTTGACAAAGTGTTAAAACGACGTTTAGTCATTCGGTATATTTCAAACCTACAGTGTCCAAGTATCCGAATTTATATAAAGAAAGCTTTACGAAAAGGTCTTTATTAATGAGTCCACGAGTTAAATGTCGTGGTCTGTTTGCAAAAGAAATTCATTTTTAAGCGATCTGTCATGATGGAAAAAAAACCCCTCAATCACGTAATCTCCTGACGAAGAAGTGAAAATGGTCTGTCGTAGAGGCATTTTTATCCGTAAACTAACTCCGTATTATGTTAATTTATGTATTGTTTAAAATCGTAGAAAAATCGATTTCGGTCGAGTATTTCACGAATTGAATTGTTGCTTTGTTCCAATAGAAATTTTTGGTAAATCAATTCCTCAAGATGGCATATGCTCAGTTATTTCCTAACTCTGTGATAAATTTACGAAGATAAGTTTATAAAAAAAAGAAAGATTTTAATTTCAAAAGGTTTGAAGTTCAGGAATGATGTTATCTTCGACAGATTGTTAAGACACTTGATTCAATCCCTCACTACAAACAATTTCTTTTATCTCAGATGAATCCATAACAAATCTTGCGATATGTCGCAATCTCTTTTTGTGTCATTTATTCTTTTTGTTTTAATATCTCAGTCCCAATATCTACTTCTCTTTAACTCTCTCCGTCCCAATCTCATTTTCTGTTTTACTCTCTTCGTCCCGATCTCTCTCTCTCTCTCTCTGTTTTACTCTATCCGTCCTTATCTCTCTCTCTCTCTCTCTCTCTCTCCTTCTGATTTACTCTCTCCGACTCTAACACTCATTCTGTTTTACACTCTACGTCCTTATCTCTCTTTCTGTGTTACACTCTCCGACCCTCTCTCTCCTTCAGTTTTACTCTCTCCTTTCCTATCTTTCCTCTTTTACTCTCCCTGTCACTAACACTCATTCTGTTTTACTCTCTCCGTCTGTTTTACTCCCTCTGTCCCTATCTCTCCTATTGTTTTACTCTCTCCGTTCCTATCCCTCCTTCCGTTTTACTCTCTCCGACCCTAACACTCATTCTGTTTTACACTCTCCGTCCCTCTCTCTCTCTCTTAATGCTCCTCCTCCTTATCTCACTTTCTGTTTCCCTCCCCGGCGCTCAACACAGTGTAATAGTATTACAACATTTATGCAAGCAAACAATAAAATGCAATAATATTTTTTTTTATTATCTACACTATTTATATAGTTCCGACTGTTCTCCTCGTCTTTATTTACATATTCATGTCATTTCGGACGTTTTATGCTCCGGTTTTTTCACGTGATACACGTTGGAATTTTGAACCAAACACTTTTTTTAGGCCACAAGGGTAGATATTTCTCGTTCCACGTGCCATGCCTTTTCTGGATATCTTAGTTTCAGTTAGTTCCTTTTGGTAACTCAACTCTCCAAGCTTTTGTCCACCTCTTTATTGGAGAGATGAATTACTAAAAAGGATTAACTGAAACTGAGATAACCAAAAAAAGACATGACACGTGGAACTAGAACATTTACCCCTTTATTCAACACATTAATTCGGCTTTATTTTTCTTCGTATATGCAGCTGATTTCCGTAGTTTGTTTACATTTATTTTGCGCGCAATGTTTCTTTTAAGATCATCATTTTTATGATTATTTCACATAGGTCACTCTTAAATGACATTGGAGAACCCGAATTATGTAATATTTAAAAGATTTCACAGTTGTATCCGTGGTAGAAAAGGAAATAAAAAACATATGAAGAACGTACCGAGCCCCGTTTAAGTTTTACTTACGGTTTTATTAGACGATATCAATTGCAACAGCGACGAAAAGAGAAATTAAATTAAAACTTTAATAAAGAACTGTTTTTTAAAACTTTTACTCTGTTTTATATTTAAATTTAAATTTAAATGAGTTTACTATTTAATTTTTAATCGCGTCTGACTAAGGTATTTAATATCTGTTACATCAGGTTGTTTATGATTCTCCCAGACAGAAATACGGACGGACAGACACACGAACACTGCGCTTTAATTTTTATAGATAATATATTTTTTATTCAAAATATATTTTAATAATTATTAAGAATGTAAGAGAAAAAAAATTTTAAAATAAAAATAAAAGCAAATACACGGTAAATTAAGTGCCATCGCAACCTTGAATTTCAAGCGGCATTTTAGGGAACTGAGAAAATGTATCGTAACGTAATAAACATATATGAAATGAGAATATAATAAAATAAGAAAGAAACATTTTAATTTCAAAAGTCATTTGAAACTGCGAATTTATCATCAACAGATATTAACTTATGAAACGTGGTTTAAGCCCGTACTATAAACAGCAGCCTTTATCTAAGATGATCTTCCCTAACATATCTCTGCTTCCCATTCATTTTTATCTATCTACGTCTCTCCCACTCTCCCTGCCTCTCTCTATCTTACCTTCTATGTCTGTTTCCTTCTTTGTATCTGAGATACCAAGCGTGACACACACCTAGGTACAATCTTAATAAATAATATATATAACATATTTCTGATAATTAATGGATATATTTTTATTCGACGTTTTTATTTATTCAGAAGTTATTTTTATTGAAAACTCTGCGTTTTCAATTTTAGTTTTAAACTGTGTATATTAAACCTCTCGACGAGCAAATTCCAGTAGGAAACTGAACGACAATTTGCAATTCAGCAGGGATTGAACCTGTGCCCAACTTTATAGGAGAAACTACCGTTTGATCCGGCGTGTTCGGCCACAATGAGTATCTAATCTAGCAAGGGTCTATTTACAATGAATGCGATTTTAACTGAACGAGAAAGTGTACATTTCTTAGCACTTTGAGACCTGACCGCCGCTTTACCGATGGTAGAGAAAAGTGAGTTAATGCCCAGTTACCTGTCGAACGGTGGGTAAACACTTGTAACTATTTTTATATGTGCCGTAAAACATTACATACCAATTATTTACAAATTTTGACTGTTAAACGGAACACTTTTCAGTTAACTCTTTACATAAGTTAAACGTTGAAGACAGACTAGCCGCAAATATATAGAAATGACGATATAACCTATTCTAAATCGCAATAGAGCACCATCTACCGCGAACCTACTTTAAACCTAATAACTAAGAAACGAAAGATTTGCAGACATGTTTATACGGTGTTTTGTCCTTGATTTAGTGTGAGTAATCCTCCCCCAATGATTCTAAAAGTATTTTTGATACACACTGTAAATATACATAAATACACACAGATATATATATCATCTTTTAAGCTAGCAATATTAGATGCTCCACCAAACTTGCTAGCCACATGTGGAACTTAAAAAAAGGGACACGGATCTGATCATGAGGAGGAAAATTTTAAAAATGGTAAAACCATATAACAACGATCCCCGCATTTTCAAACTATGCCAACATTAGAAATTAGCGATTATGATATTTTCGGATCCAAATAATATTTAAGACAAAAAGTCCGAAATTGTTAAGTGCTTGCCTTCATATCAGAAAATTTTTATTAAATTAATTTGAGAACGGATACAAAAAAACTAATTTAAAACCTTACTGTTATTGCTAAAATACGTTTGTCTCGCTATCCTTCCTAACATTTAAGTTACATTTGCTTGACTTCTTCATTTTTGTATACATTTACAATAAACTTGTATTCCTGTTCCTCTTTTTTCATTTATTTCCTTTTTTTTTTTCTTACACATTTTTTTCCTTCTTCTTTCTTCTCCATATCCACATCCTTTCGATTATACTCAACGTCATGTTTTTCGACCGGCATGCTTCTGTTTATTTAGTTTTGAAAAATAATATTGTAGCATTCATATGCTTTAAAAAAAAAAACAAAAAAAAAAACAAATAATGCGTTAAGGTGGTCATTTGAAAAATATTGCCTTATCAGACAGTGAGTTCAAAACCAATGTCGCCTATACAATTGACCTCGTTATTTTTAAAGTTAAAAGCTCTTCATTTTTTTTCCATTTATTTAATTATTTTTCGCATGTACTGAGCACGTTTTAATAGTACTGTTTCCTAGTCTGATTGTGACCAATAACATTATATATATATATATATATATATATATATATATATATATATATATATATATATATATATATATATATATATATAATGATGCACCTTATAGACTTGATGAAGCCCATCAAAGCATGAAACACGTCGGATATGTATAGTCTTTCCTTTTTTCTCTTATCATTCATTTTGTCTTTTCTACAGAACAGATACACTCTATGTGAGAATAATTACCCAGACATCAGCTCACAAATCAAGAACTAATATGGTGAAAAAATTTAAAAACTTTTGATTTTATAACATGGAGTCATACGCAGAAGGAAAATATCATTGGTTTTATAATATTTGAACATATATATATATATATTTATATATATATATATATATATATATATATATATATATATATATATATATATATATATATATATATATATATATATATATATATATTAAAAGAAAGAACAGTAAGATATATAAACTGGTGTTCTTATAGATATTTTTTATATATGTATATATATATATTAAATATTGAAACACAAACAAACACCCCCACACTTACATGTATATACATACACAAACACACGCACACACACTATATCTATCTATCTATCTATCTATCTATCTATCTATCTCATCTCTCTCTCTCTCTATATATATATATATATATATATATATATATCTTTTAAATATTTAAAACAATCACATACCCCCACATATATATATATATATATATATATATATATATATACATACATACATTCACAAACACACACACGCACACACATATACATATATCTATTTCTATATCTATCTATCTATCTATCTATCTATCTATCTATCTATCTATCTATCTATCTATCTACATCTACTAAATATATATATATATATATATGTGTGTGTTCTATAATCAAATGATGCATGTATTATAATACATAGGTATGCATATGTGTGTGCGCGCGTGTGTGTGTGTTCCTTTGTGTGTAATATGCTGCCCACGATGGTCTATATTCCTTTCCAAAGTAGAGAACCAATTACTCACCATCATTTGGTCATTCGTTGATGACGTGTCTCGAGTGATGTGAAATATACGGCGTTGTCTGTGTGTTTTGGAAAGCGAGCGACAGTGTTAACTCATCCTTGATAAATTTACAAGGAGATATCGAACCGGAGCCAGACTATATGGCTGAGTTTTTCGACAAGGCTACATGCTAACTGGACTTTTGGGACAGATCAACGGGACCACCAGTCTGAAGCTTCGGGATAGGATTTCAAGTAAGATGGGGGTCCGAATAGACGGTATGATATACTGATCAGCCTTACAAAATGGTAGCACCAATTAGTAAGAATAGCTCTTCTAAAATAAGGCTCGGTTGATATAGTTGATTGATTTATGCTTTCACTAAAACATATAATTAAATAATATCCAACTACTTATCTCCCACACCACACACTTATACTTACATAGTTGTCAAACCGATGATGCCCGGGAAAGCATTGCTTTAGCAATGGTATATTTAGAATTTTTTTAATGCCAAAATCAAAAAGTACGTCCAATATAAACCGGGTGATAATGATTCTTTCTATAGTATAGGAAAAATACTAAAGAAGACCTGAGTTACAGAATCAAATCAAAATTTCGCAGGCTTTGCCTGCAGGGAAAATTAGCAATATCAATGCACAAAGTCTCATACGAAGAACGTGCTAAATAAAAGTTCAAGAATTATGACGAACGTAATACATACGTTCCTCGTCACACAATGACAGCCGAGAATTAAAAATTAAGAGAAAAAGAAAAAAAATACACAGTCAATGATAAAAATTAAATGAGAAAGAAATAAGGTTTGAAAAATTTACATTTGGTGACATATAGCGGAACAGAGGCAATGTATTTAAATACGAACTTGCGTGAATTTTGATAACAAGCAAATTAGCCCGAAGATACTAAACATAAAATTGCTGTAGCTTGGTACGGTATTTATATATATATATTTTTAAGAAAGCATTCTTAGTATTACTATTACCCGAATCTTAACTGATTTAATTGAGTGAAGATTTATATATATATATATATATATATATATATATATATATATATATATATGTGTGTGT